GCAAACTAGATACAATCAACTTAGGCTTGAATAGAGACTGGGAATGGCTGAGCCATTACAAACATTGAATCTATCTCCCCATGTAAGTACTCTCTCACACTTCTTATCAACCTGTCTGTACTGGGCTATCTTGAGTATCACTTCAAAAGTTTTTTTTCTCTTACTTAATTGGCCTTTCAGAGTTGGTAAGAGAACTCCCAGTTCAGATGTTTCTTGGGAGGAGTAAATTCCAGTCATTTCCCATAGCAAGAACCCTATTCCTATCTCACTTGTCTTCAACCCCCTTCTCCTACAGGAACCCAGGGTGTCCCTTGACTGGGGAGTCACCCCTGTCTCTTACTCACACAGTGCATGAGCCGCTGCCATCAGAAATAGAGGTCTCAGTGGATTCTCCTGCATGCCACCATACAGGAACAGACTCCCTGTGCACTAGGTTGCAACACCATGTGTCCCACCTACCCCGCCATCTGGACAGAGGGTCAAACTTCAGTGACATTGTGACCCTGTGAACTAGATTGTAATGCCACTCACTGAAATGTGACCCAACCACCCCTTTGTTTGCCCGTAGAGATGGTCAGGTCAAATTTCAGTGGCATTGCAACCACTCATCTGGATCAGTGCTCCAGACTGCTCCGGCAGCAGCTGAACTGATTTAGTATGGGACCATTGCTTAAAAGTGGTCGGGCCATGGCCCCCCCACCTCCGCAACCTACGGCAAGTGCAAAAATGGCCTCCTCCCTAAACCTACCCAATTTGTGCCGCTGCTGAAAGTTGCTGGTGCATTTTGTATTAGTGATGTCAGTGGGAGCGCCACTTCTTTTGCCATTTTCTGTTTAAAATTTCTGTCCCAAGATGAATGAAATGAAATACCAATACCTAATAAAAATTGGGATGATAGAACATTTTGTGCATTAACCCTTTTCCTAATCTAGGAAGCAGTGTGGATCTTGTGGTTAAAGGATGGGTCTTTGAGACACCTAGGTTTGTTTCCTGACTCTACCAGTGGGGAAGGGCAAGACACTTGAACTCTCCATACTTCAGTTTTCCTATCCATAAATACTACTTAGCCATCTTTGTTAAGTGCTTTGAGATCCTCTGGACTCGTTTATACAGAGAGTTGCAGAGAGCAAGCTGGGGTGTAAAACTACAGCACAATAGCCCGCCATACATTAATCAGCTGTGTGTACTCTGCCACTGTGAACTCTGTAATGCACTTTCATTTACACCCCAGCTTGCTCTTCACTAACTCCGTGTTGCCAAGCCCTTATATATAAGCATAAGGTATTGTATTATTAATTGTTGTTATTCCCATCCACTAGCTTTGTTGAAAAAGGTAGGTACATAAAAAGGTAGTATATAGTTTATCAGATTGGCATTGCTTATTTTGTGTGTGTTGTGACAGACCCAGACCATTGGGGTACAGGAGTCTGGTAGAGGGCAAATATACTGGTCACTGGATGAGTAGTTTTCTGTTCCCTGAGTGACCAGAACAGGGGCTGCCCTAGAGTAATCAGGAACCTGCTAGAACCAGTTAAGGCAGGCAGGCTAATTAGGACACCTGGAGCCAACTAAGAAGAAGCTTCTAGAATCAATTAAGGCAGGCTAATCAGGGCACCTGGGTTTTAAAAAGGCGCTCACCCCAGTTTGTGGTGGGAGTGTGAGGAGCTGGGAGCAAGAGGCGCAAGGAGTTGAGAGGGTATGCTGCTGGAGGACTGAGGAGCACAAGCGTTATCAGACACCAGGAGGAAGGTCCTGTGGTGAGAATAAGGAAGGTGTTTGGAGGAGGCCATGGGGAAGTAGCCCAGGGAGTTGTAGCTGTCATGCAGCTGTTACAGGAGGCACTCTAGAGAGCTGCAGTCCACAGGGCCCTGGGCTGGAACCCGGAGTAGAGGGCGGGCCCGGGTTCCCCCCAAACCTCCCAATTGACCTGGACTGTGGGTTCTCCCAGAGGGGAAGGTCTCTGGACTGTTCCCCAACCCACATGGTGAATCTCTGAGGCAAGAAAATCCACCAATAAGCGCAGGACCCACCAAGATAGAGGAGGAACTTTGCCACAGTATGTACACGAACACTGAAAAATAAGCAATGCCAATCTGCCCTTTTAAAAATTAATTCTCCCTGCTTCTGAGATGGTTCTGTTTGGGGATGTTTAGGGAGACCAGAAAGAGAATGTGTCAAAATACAGAATACTGAATTATGACATACCGTTATGGTAAATATTATAGATCACAGATTAATAGTCAGTGGTTACATGAACTCTAGAACAGATAGTAAACAGACTAAATTTGAGAGCAATTTGTCCATTTTTGTAATAGATCCATATTCATCCAACAGAGCTGGCAGATTTTCCTTTTATAGGGATTTGACAATTAATTAGCATTCTCATTTATTACTTATCTCTACAGTATTTTGAAAATGTGACTAAGAATTCTAATAATTTCTAGTATTCCTTCTATTTAAAAAAGCTCATATAGAATGTTTACAAATGTGTATCTAAGAAACTCTGGTTTTCTATAGTGATCTAAAATGAGAACTTACCAGTAAACATTCATCGTGTCTGGTCCTTATATGGGCCTTTAAGGGTAAGGAGGACACAAAGGGCTTTCTTTACCTCTTTATACACGCTGTGCAGGAGATAAGCCTTTATTGAGGTCCATGCACGCCCCTGCTAGTGCACTCTGGGATACAAGCCCTCAAAATAGGAAATGAGGATGTAGAGAAGAACTGGTTGCAAAATTTTCATTAATGTTATCCAGTGAAAAATGGATTTTAGAACTATATTAGAATCTTCCTGGGAAATGTTTTGTATCATTTGAATTTTTTTGTCAAAACAAACAAAAGGTGTCGTTCCCCCCACCCACCCACCCACCATTTTCAGGTTTATTTACCCGTTTCCCCCAATATCTCCCTATGGAAAAATGAGAGAGAGAGAGTGCACACACAAAAACACCCTGAACATTTTTCTATTTGATTTATGTTGACAAAATTTATGTAAAAAATGCACAACAATTATTTTTTTCCAAAATCG